ATATGTATATATATATATGTATATATACATATATATATATACATATATATATATACATATATATATATACATATATATATACATATATATATATATGTATATATATATATGTATATATACATACAAAGATGTAGATACTAAAAAGGGAATTCTATGATGATATTGACAAACTGGTTAGAAATTCACAAGATTGATTGTTGCTGTGTTCCTTTTCAGATGTAACAAATACTCCTCGTGTAGCTTATACTTATTAGCATAACTGTTGATGGAATTGGAAATTTGATAATGAAAAGCTGATTCTGAGTAATGGAACAGATGTATCATAAATTCATAATAATATAATCTTCTAGTTTGTGAGGAACTTGTTGACCAAGCAGATCTACTTTTTGAATTGGTTGTGGTCCTTGAAAAAAGAATTGCATGTTTTGACAATCAGCACAATGGTTAGCCTGAGTTAATGGTTAGTAGACAGAAGTTACCTCACATAGATCAGTCCATCTAATTGATTGGATATAATAAGAAAGAGACTAACAACCTTGATTGAAACCTTAAAGGAAGTCATTTTGTTACAAAATTTCTTTTGATGGATCAGCAAGTTCCCTATCAAAGACTCTTTCCCTTTTTCCTTTTTCTTTTGGACCATGTTTGTCCCAACTTGTCCTCACTTGTTATTAACATGCTTATGATTACACTAGAGAAAGCCGCCTAGAGTTGGCATAATTTTAAATTAAGCAGACCATCGTAGAGAGCATAAACTTAATAATTGTGCTCGTTAGCTTGCTTCCTATTGGCTAATTTTATTTTTGGCCTTCTGGTCATAGCTGTTGTTGGTAATTTTCTGACTGCTTGTTGCCAAGAAAGTATTTTTTTTTTATATTGCCCTTAACAATTCTTAATGAAAGGGAAAAATGTTCGTGTAGCTGATCGGACACTGCTCTTACCTGACTCCTTGCCTTGCTACACCCATGTTGAGATGACACCACAGGTTCTGGTATGGGGTATAGGTTCAACTCCGCTAGAATTTATCGGACTTGGCTGGACCTAGCCAATTCCAGTTGATCTAAAACTGGGGAACAAGTATAGAATAATAAGGGGAACAGCAATAGGTAGGATAGAAGTAGAGAAGAGGGGCAGGGTAAGAAAAGGAGGAGAGTTAGATTGTCTGTTGCTCTTTGGTTGTTGCTTAGAGTGGGTTTATTGTGTGTATGTGAGAGAGAGAGGGTAACGGAATTAGGACAATCATCACATCAGACACCAACATCCATGTCATAATTGGCACTCTGTACCCAAGTTGGAGCAATATAGGCTTGTCCAAATTGTTTATTTTTTATGGCTCCTATAGTATTATAATTGGCCTTGCTAGGTAGCTCTCTATGTAATCAAGTGTACCTTGCAAATTATGCCATGTTAGTTGTATACCTTGCAAATGATGCCATGTCCACTGTACTTTGATTTATAGTCAGATATTGGTATTTTACATGTTACTGTGGATTTTTTAATGCTTGTTATAGTGACTGTTAACAATATTCTCGTGCTTATTATCTAAGCAGGCTAGTGAGGTAGTTAAAGAAAACAATCTATCTGACAAGGTTACCGTCCTTCTCGGACGAGTTGAGGTACACTTCAATAGTTATATACTCTGGCTGTTTTTTCTTTAGTTCATGTAATCCCATTGATTCTTATATGTTTGTATCATTTTCTAGTGGCCTATGGTCCACAGCTCAAGGCTTGATAATATAGTTTGTTTGTACAAGTGCTGATGATAGTTACAGAATTTGTACAATATTATAGAAAAGTTTGAATAGTTGGCTCTGGAGTGCATTACAGCCTTGTTTTGTTTTGAATATTTTGATTGTACCAAGTCATCGAGAAAGGCAAATAGTGACAATCGATAGCAAGAGGTATTTTAAGATGAGGCAGGGCATAGTGCAGTCCGTAGTTTGTTGTTTTATTTATGACCTAGGTGTCATGGTTTCAGAAGTGGAATCTCTCAGAACACTTGCAGGACAAGACTGCTTTTTTGAACCTCAGATCCTGCAATTCTGGCTCTTGCCTTAGTTATGAATCTAGAAGATGTATAACTTTTATGACGATATAGTTCTTTTGGCACTGACCGTTCATGTGCATGTCAGTTGAGCGCATTAGGGTTGGGGTTATGGACTTGGCGTGTCATATTGCCACTCCTGGTACCTTGTTAGGGTTACAATGCACAATGTGATGGTTTTTCTGGTCATAATAAATTAAAATGGCTTCTAGAATGCTGAATTTTTAAACTATCAATACCGAGTGATCTTGGACTGGGTAGCTAGGTCAAGCCTTCATCTACAAGTTGTATCTCTTTGATCTTCATAAGTTAAGCCACTGTCGATTTGTCTGCAATTAACACATCTGTGCTTCCATTCTTATGCATCTGTTCTGCTATAACTAACTAAGAAATGCACTCTTAAGCTTAATCAAAATGTCCATTATTTTGTATGATAATTCCCATGCCTTTTTTACTTCCATTTCTGCATTTACTTTTTAGGGTTTCTCAGTGATTTAAAAAGCGCTAGGCGCCAAGGTCCACAAACGCCCGAGGCGCTAGGCGCTCGCCCGAGCGAAGCGAGGCGCTAAAATATAAAAATATATAATATAATTAATAATTTCAAATAAATAAAAATTAACAACATTAAAATCAAAATAATATATTATTAATCTATTAACAAAAAATTAATCATCGAGGAAGCAGCGGCGAGCGGCGGCAGCAACAGCGGCGAGCGGCGGCAACAGCAGT